ATCAGTGTATCGTCACGAGCCGCAGGGTTTAATTTGGTTTTGTTTGTGTATGGTTTTTTTTACTCTCAAAGCCGTGATTCCCATTCACTTCCATTATAGGACTGACAGACTGCAACGGTTTGAGTTAAAAATCTTCGTTTGTGTTCTACTGAAGAAACCAAGTCCCCTACATCTTGGATGCCCTGGGGCTAAGCAGATAAACATTAAATTTTCATTTTTGGGTGAACTATCCCTTTAACGTAATATAAATTATATTTTAAAATTATATTAATGTAAATATAATAAATATACTGAACATAAACATATACTAAAATACAAGCTATATAAATATATTCCCCAGTATATAAATAAAAGCTACAAACCAAGTGATTGCTTCAATAAAATTTTGCAGTATGTTTCTAATTTTAATTAATCATTCATGTTCGTATTAAGAACAAGAAAAAATAACTGTATGAAATGATTATATTATAAACACACACACACACACACACACCACCACCACTGCTATACAAATGCTCAATGTTGGTGCTGTACACACATATATCAGAAATTGTAAGTCGCTGGCACATTGCAGTTATATAATATACAGATTGTCATGAATTAAATTCCATAGAACAATGACCATATTTACAAATCAAGCATGAGCTTGAATTTTGAACAGCTGAGAAGAATTTTTTCAGGTTTCTTTGATGAATAGAAAGTTCAGAAGAAAGTGTGGGTTCAGAAGCAACATGCCACTTACAAATTTTTTTCAAAGCCAAAAATAATTACTCCAAATCCTATACTAGACAGCAAACGGGTGGGTTTAAATAAAAACAAATAGCCAGATGATGGTTTTTAAAACTTTATTTTCTTTGACATGACCACACAGCTATTCTGTTAAATTTGGCCATAGCCATATTCCTTAACACTGATAGGCCCAACAGAGACAGTCCCGGTGCCAGGACACACGACCGGGGGGGATGGGGAGGGGGGTGCTTGGAGGTGGCTTTCTAACTGTCCAATGTGTGTAAGTATATGTGTTTGTAGTTTTAAAACAAGTGTTTTTTTTTTTTTAATGCTCATTAAGGGAATCAGATCTTTGGATTAACATCACGTACCCATTTCTCCCGACATACATAAGTCACTGTTGAACTAGGAGAAGAATAAAGTGAACTTTTTAAAGTTACCTGCACAACGTTTATGTGAATAAAACACATCGCCAGATTTTAATTGAAAGCATTAGCGTATTATTGCCGCTTTCCTTAGACACCAGTGCATTCAACAAACATCGAGTATTTAACAAATGTCTTTTTTTCCTAGTAGCCTAATTACATTTAAATGTTTGAAACCTAAAATAAATTGTATGTGGTTTAAAACACTGGATTGTAGTGATAAACTATGAAAAACTCTGAATAAAGCACGTTTGAATTTAGCAGTGAATGCTCTAAATACACCGGTGACCGTTTGCATGGAATGGTTAAAACTGTCGTAGTTCGAGGGGTTGGAGGTTGCCAGGATTTGTTTTGGCTTTGTTTTCCTGTTTTCATGCTTGCTGAGCTAATGATCGAAAAGTAGTTTGACCAATAACATGCAAGCATTGTACATAATGGACCAATCATGGCGTGTGAGAAGGTGGGATCTACGGTCAAAGCGATGCAATTACGCGTACATAGGATGTGTGTTCGACTTAAAAGCAGCGCGGCTCAGATCGATCAGTGTTTGACATCAAAGTACCTCGAGAGCATTTCGAAAGCAAAAAGAACTGTTTGTATGGTATTTTGATTTCATACACTGATCGGTCTGCACACGCACACAAAGCCAACACCTAGATATTTTAGGCAATATAGAAATCCTGGCCAGGACACGTCCGGGAAAAATGGCACGTATGGTCACCCTACCATAGCCATTTTTTGAATCACCAACATGCTGAACATTTTTTTCTTCTTTTTATAGAGGATTTATTTTTAGAGTCTCCCTCATTTTGAGATAACCCAGCTGAATTAACTCATCAGTTGATTAGTGGAGTACTCAATGACTTAAACTGGGAGTGTCTAATAAAGGAAATATACTGCTGGGGAGGCTCCAGGGGCCCGTACCATGATGGTAGATGAACAAATTCAGAGTTACAAGATTAGTTTCGAGTTGACAAAACCAAACCATTCCAATCCGGCTTTGTTGGTACCATGATGCTGATCATCAACTTTCTTTGTCAACTCAGGCTTTGATCCTGAGTTTGTGGCGCACGTGCACATGAATGTGTGACATCACTGGCGAACAGCCAATCACGAGCCTTGGTTAAAGGTTTTGCTAAAGGTTACAATGAAAATGTACTTGTTCATGAAAGAGGACAAATAAAAGAAATTATCTTGCTTTATCAGTGCAGTCACAAGTGAAACTTGTTATATATAGTGATAGAGACTCGAACATGTAAGGTCACGTAGTCATTTTTAAATCATTATCTATTGATTCTACAGCTTATTTATATTACATACGATCGGTATATAACATTCATTTAAAATAAATGATTTATAATAACTGATAAACTAAAATTGCTTATGCGTAATGGATTAATGATAATATAAATAATATAATTATATAAATCATATAAAACAACTCTTAATAATCATTAAAGCCAGACATGTTTTTAGTACTAGTGACCTTTAATTTGGAGCAAGATAAACTGGGGGAGTGAATTTTTTGTGTCAGACATGTGTCACTACTTTGCTCACATCTGATTGGTCCAGTTTCAGTTTGAGATCTCTAACTCAGAACATAACCTGCCCCGGAGCAGGCTAGCCGTGGAGTGTAAGTTACCATGGCAATGAACGCAGCTAAAAGTCAAGACACTTTCATGGAACCTAAAACCCAGGATTGATGCAAACTAAACTGAAACTTACCTGGCTAGCCAGATAATCCGGCTTCATGGTACAGGCCCCAGGAACAGTTTGAAAACCTTTCATACACAAGCAGCCCATTGTTTTTATTAATTTTTAAACATTACATTAAAATATATGTTACACCAAACATCTTACTGGCAGTTTTATTTGCTTTGTTAAATCTTATACATATAAATGTATATTATACTTTTTTTTATATTTCTGTTTGGAGAGAATAACATGGCAAGAACACCAAGTATAAGGAGTTTGAATCAGCTGCTTTCAAGTGAAGGGACTACAGAGAGCACAACAACCTTTTTTCAAATCTTTTGGGTTGCAATTTTTCGATTAGCTATCCTTGCATTAAAGTTATGTAACAAGAAAAAAAAAAAAAACCTTTCAAAAACTGATGAAACCTGGAAGTAAACTCTTGACTCTTAAATTGCACAGTTTTAACTTAACGTTGTAAACTACTTTAAACAGACTGATAAAACTTGTATTTAACACTCAAAGGTACATAAATTCAGCAAATACAATTAGGGCTTGTCAGCTTGATTTTGCATGGTAGCCTTGCAAAAGTATCTGGTGACTTGTCTAAGTATCAGGGCCTTGAATTTAATGGCAACCAGTAAAGCAAGACATAAGAGGTAGGACTTTCTAGGTGCTAGATGTTTGTGGAACACTTAAGACACTCGAGTTGGAATAGCTGCCACCATACGGGTGCAGTGCTCAAAGTTCACTAGATATTTTCAGTGCATTCCAGAGGAAGCTTTATCCAGTATGCAACAGAATATGGTTGCCATTGAAACACCCTTAAGTCATAACATTCCCCACCCTAACCAGTGTTTGCACTGAAGTAAGGCTTCTGGCACAATTTAGTCAGTGCACAAAAAGTCAGCTTCATACATCACCAGAAGCGCCAAGTTAGAGGAATTGTGGTTAGGTTACAGGGGATTTGGCTTAAATGGGAGTGCCAGCAAAACAGGATACAAACAGTTGTAGATTTTCAAAAGTCAGTAAAGAGTTCACAACCTATTAGGACCTTTTTTTTTTTTATTAAGTCAACAGATGTCACATGGCACTTCCAGTTATTTTTGGCCATAGCCATATTCCTTAACATTGATGGGCCCAACAGATGTTCTTTCCCACCACAGATCTGAGGAACAAACAAGCAGTGAGAAAAAGCAGTGTACACAAAAAAAAAAATAATAATAATAATTCAGACCTTTAAGCGGATCACTTCCTCTTCTGATACTACAGGTGGTGTCACAGCAGCCACACACCTGGTCAGAATCATCTGCAGACACCCAACTAACAAGACAAGCCCTTCAGTTAAGGCAATTCCTCAGTCACCTGTACACTCATTTAGGGGTGAGGGGGAAACATACCCATTAGCAGAGAATGAACAAGCTTTCTGTTCAGGACTTGGAGTAGTTGCTACAGCCACCTTCACCATGCATGTGATGTAGACCTGCAAAGACCGTTGTTTGTAGACAATGGTAGCACAGCATACAAAGTGTTGCAGTCACATACCAGTCCACTGTCTGGTTGCTGGAACCTAAAAGCTTCCAGCTGAAACCGCAACTTGTCACCTTGAGTTCGGGGCATAAAGTGAGACCTGGAGCCTGTGAGCTTGGCATCAACCAGGCACCTGGGAAAGGAACCAAGTTAAACATCTTGCAACACATCTAGAGTGTGGGACACACGAGGTGCACCACTTACCCATTGTTCTCAATAAAGGAGTATCTGGGGACAGATGTGACATCAGGGACTACTGTAGCCACGCAGCTGTCCACAAACACACGGATGGGAACATGGCTGTATGAATGCACAGATGCTTCAAGATTTATGATATCACCCAGGAAGTATTGGTTAGAAGGTCTCTCGAATCTCCAGTCATCTGCAAAGACAAATTTAACACAGGTCCACAAGCACTGGAGTGTTATGAAAGTTTGGTATACCAACCAGTCATGAGTTTGAGGGAGAAGACAAAGACCTCCTCTGCAACTTTAGTAGAGGTATATGGGATCCAAGTGGGCACCAAGGAATCGCTGCTCACATTATGCAGTCTGCAAGAGGGTTAAATACACCATCACTTTACAGTGGCTTTAGTACAAGGGTGCCCAAACTTGGTCCTGGAGGGCCGGTGTCCTGCTGAGTTTAGCTCCAACTTGCCTCAACACCTGCTGGGAAGTTTCTAGTATGTCTAGTAAGAGCTTGATTAGCTGGTTCAGATGTGTCTAATTGGGGTTGGAGCTAAACTCTGCAGGACACCAGCCCTCCAGGACAGAGTTTGGGCACCCTTGCTCTAGTACATCCAGCAACCTTGAATTCTGCCCTCACCTTGAATAGTGACACTCGATACCAACCACCGCACTACTGCTCCTAACAATAGGAACACCATATGAAGCCTCTTGTGGCGTGTAGAGAAGTTTGAAGGTATAGACAATCTCATGTTCAGTCACCTGAATAAAATGGAGCCATAGTAGTCAAAGAAACCAATCAGAACCATAGAATGGAAAATTGAAACCTCACCGTTACTATACTGCCACATCCATGCAGTTCAGACTCAAAGATAAGCACTTGAGCAGAAGGGTCTTCCCCAGTTGCAGTACAGCTTCCCAGTGTAAGAGCAGATGACCTCAATGGCTTCCCAGTCCCAAAGAAGTCTTCCATCACCTCCACATATATTGAATTCTCACCACACTGAGCTGCTACACTGTTGGCAGGGACAGGATGACGTAACTCAAAAGGAATGTCTGGCTGCTGTAATTCTTCTGGTAGGTTTGGAAAACTCCATGCAAGTTTTGTCACTGGACCCAGCATCAGTTCTTTTGACTGAACACCAAAAAGATCTTGAGAAGGCCTTCTAAAATCATTCCTGGCTGGTGTTTGGACAGGAAACGGAGCAGGAAATCCTTGTGGTGCAGATGCAGGATTACCAAGGCCATATCTCTGGGCAATTGGAGGCATCCTGAAGTCGGTCTTCTGAACTAGTGCCCTAGGCATAAATACGCTTGGGGTCCAATCATTTCTTCCTCTGGATCTCAATAGAGCTTCAGAGAATCCCAGAGCAAGAAGAAACGCAAATCCAACTTGCCAGAACCCCATTGTTGCTAAGCTTGCATTTCAATGATGCATTAGTGTTCCACCATCCAAATTTATACAGCTGAAAATCCGGATGGCTCCACCTCTCTCATGACAAGCATAATTTTTCTCTAGATCTGCTAATTTACTCAATCAATTTGCCACAGGTGAAAATCATTAATTTCTCATTACTCAGAATAAACTATGCCCCATTTAAGGACACGTTGTATTAGAAGCTATACCAAATGATTGCTTATTTTAAATATCAAAATGACATAAATTCTCTGAAAAGAAAACCAACCTCTAAGTCTTTTTGTGTCCTCTTTTTTTATTAATTCAGAAACATGATCACAGACAGAATTGTACACTAGAGTATCCAAAATAATAAAGATCATCATGTTTCTACAGTCAGGTTTAGATTGTGAGATGGAAATGGAGCAAGGGAATGCAAGATCATAGTATAGTACATAGATTTTATTGTAGATTCACTGATGTTTTCTCCCCCTTCCAATTGTTTTACGACTAGGTTGATCAGTGTGCGTGGATTTACGGTAGACTTCATTCCTTCAGCTTGAACTATACTACATGCTGGGCACCACAGAAAACAGACGACTAAAAAGCATTTGAATTCCAAATATTAACAAGTATGAGTGAAACCCATTAATGGATGTTAAAAACTTAAAAATGGTGGTGTTTGAAACATGACAGCACACATTAAAACACGCTGGAAAATTTTAAAGTCTTAAAATATATAGTTGACAAATAGTTTGTGAAGCAGCACACAGTAATACAAAAAAAGTTGTCAACTATTAACAAAGAGGTTTTGAAACATTTTTTTGTTTGTTATTTTTTTCTGTCACACAGCCAACATTTCTTACTCAATTCGTTTCTTCAGAAAAAAAAACAACTTGCGTGCCACTGAACAGTCACATCTACTTTAACACAACACTTAGGCTCAAGTTGCATTTTATTCATCTTGCCAATTCACAGTTCTAACTGGCTGAAACAGCCTGTAATGGATGCATTTATTTCTGGTAAATGACAAGGGTGATGGGGTGGGAGTCTCTTAGGCACCCTTAAAACAGCTTCATCTTACATACAGACAAAAAGACAAGCAGACAGGTAAAGACACTGCTAGGGAGACTGGGTCAGCTGTGTATTCTGATCAAAGAACAGTTGACGGCGGCTTCTTTCCTGTACACTTTAATTGTCCCATCTGCTTTTCTTATGTTTGGGGGGATCAGGAACTGCAAAGCTGTCTTTATGAGTCCCTGACCTCTCGCCCCCATCCCTTTCTGACCGTCCCTCTCTGTCCCTATGGCTCCCTTCACCATTTCGGCTATCGCTGTGACGATCTCTGTCACTATGCCGGTCCCTTTCTGCGTAGCGATCACGGTCTCCGCCACTATGCCTGTCAGTGTGACGATAATGACTATCTCCACGATGGCCCCTGTCGTCAGCATTCCTATCGCTACGGGACCCCTCTTTTGAAGAAGAGCTAGAGTAAGAGTCTGAAACTGAGCTCAGGGAGCCTGCACTGCTGAAGCCGCTCATTTTGGTGCCCGAGCTGAGGGCAGGGGGCGGCAGCATGGAGGAAAACGAGGAAGAGGACGATGGAGAGTAGGACAGGTGGGTTCTGTCAGGTCCCTCTGGTGCTCCTGAAGGCAAAGAACTTAGACTTCCCGCACTGGTCCACCCGGAGGAGCTGCTGGACTTTGTGGTGAGTTTTGGAGGAAGACCAGACGCTGCCACAAAGTGGTTTTTATACTGAGACTAAGGAAAAGCAAGAGCAGTCAAACAAAATCCATAAATTGGTACATAGAACTACATATCTTTACTGAGGAACTTGAAGGGGATGTTGAGTATGATTTCACTTTTTTAACTTAAATTAGTGTGTAATGTTGCTGTTAAGAGCATAAATAATGCTCAAAGTTCAATGCAAAGAAATCACTGTTTAAGGACTACAAAAAAGACTGGTAGGGACTACAACAAGCTTCTTCCCAGGTTTGAGACATCACTAACCCCCATGTTTACGTAAACCTGCCCCCGGGAACATGCGTGGCGTTTCCGGACAAAGTGCAAAGCTAACCAATCTGAGCCCGATTACGTATTTCTGAGGGAGGGGCTTCATAGAACCAGGAACTCAACAGAACGTTTTGATGAGAACAGAAACAGCAGTGTAGAATAAAGGTAAAATATGTAAAAAAAAAATTGTGCTTTTTTAAAAACTAAACTTGAACACGTGTTACACTGCACCCCAAAAACACAATCAAGCCTTCGAAAAAAGCTGATCAACCACCCCTTTAAGAGTGGGAGGCAAAAGAAATTCAGTTAAAGACGTGATCAAGACAAAATAAAAAAAAATGTTTTACCTGAAATGCTTGCTTCAGGGCAGACATACGGTCTCCCATGGCCCCAGTTGATGGTTTGTAGGCTTCATAGTTACCCAGAGCAGAACCACCACTACTACTGCGCTCCTGTTTGAATCAATTTAAGATACAATAAATATAATAAAAGCATTAGCTATGAATTAGCTGTGGTTTCTGTCTGTAATTACGAAAAATAATTGGAGACAAAATAAAAGGGGGGAGCGGCAGAAGAGAATAATTTTTTATATATATAATAAATTGTTAAAAATAAATAATTACATAAAGCAAGCAAGCAAAAGTAAAGCCAAACTAACAGTGGATTCAGATCCAAGGCCTGGTCTCTCTCTGTAACCCAGGCCTCCACCTCCAATATTTAGCTTCTTCCCTTTCCCTCCCTTAAAGCGGGACTTCCTGAACCAGGGATTCTAGAAAAGAAAAAAGTAATGAAAAGTTGATGAGCAAGTCTGTGAAACATGTTGTACTATGAAAGGTGTTTATTGTATTCATGTCATGTCATTGTTTGACCTGCATTGCCAGGTCCATCAGCTCCTTTGAAACACTCTGATTGGCTCCCTCTAAATTTCGAACCAGATCACCAGCAAATGAAGTGTCTTTAGTGGTGAGCAGAGTGTAAGCTAAACCCTTCTCTCCTGCACGACCTGTTCTACCAATTCGATGTGTATGTGTGTCAATGTCTCGTGCTACATCGTAGTTCACAACTGTACGGATAGATGGAATATCCAACCCACGAGCTGAGAAGTGCAAGAGAAATTTTAATTAATACAAAAAAGGTGACAAATGGAAATAGTTCATTTATTCTGAACAGATAGAGCTAGACAGATAAAATAAGCCCAACTAACCGGCAACATCAGTAGCTACTAATACGGGCAGATTCTTCTTCTTAAAGTCAGCGATGACTTTGTTCCTCTCGCTCTGATCCATGTCTCCATGCAGCAGCCCTAGGCTATAACCTTCCTGATTGAGATTTGTAGCCAGTTCCTCACAGTTAGTCTTTTTAGTGACAAAGATCAGCACAGAGCCAGCTGAGGTGAACTCAACCAGTCTGCGTGTCAGCCAACCCCACTTTTCCTGCCCAGTCTGCAGCACCTCCACTATCTGAGTGACATCTTCATTAGCCTGGGAGGATGAGAAAAGAGGTGTAAATAGAGGTTAAATAGATAATGCAGTGTGCATTTTTAAATACTTGCATAAGAGTATGCACCTCTCCTATGTCTCCCTGCACAACACGAATGGGGTCGACCAAAATATCTCGTGCCAGCTTTTCAATTTTCTTCCGAAATGTTGCACTGAATAACAAAGCTGTGAGAGATCAGAGGTCATGAAGAGCTATTAAGTACAATAAACGCATTGGATTGGGTTAATGCAGGAATGTAGAAGTGCTTTAAAGCAGCACATTAATATAAATATGAGAGATACTTACTCTGTCGATCAGGTCTGATATGGCTGGCAATGGATCTCACTTGGTATTCTGTATAATACAGATCAAGTTTAAATTAAATGCATCACAACTGTACTCATGTTTCATAAAGGAATAGTTCACCTAAAAAAAAATCAGTCAAATTCTGTATTTACCCACCCTCATTGTTCCAAATAAAACAATGAATGAAAGTCTTGTGGGTTTGATAAAATACGAGGGTGAGTAAATGACAGAATATTGAACTAATTCTTTAATTCAATACTTTGGTAATGAAATCTCAGTTGGGAAATGCACTGACTGAGCGTTTAACAGGACACGAATTAGTGGGATTAAACAAAAAAAGTGACATTTTACACATACCAAAGCCCATATCGAACATGCGATCAGCTTCATCAAACACCAGGTAGGTCACTCGCTGCAGAGATGTAGCCTTCTTCTTCACATGATCGATCAGGCGACCCTATGTGAGAAGAGCTTTTAACAGAACAACCAAGGAAGGAACCCCCTCACAAGTAAACAGAAAGATGTCAAACTGGGTTGTGTATCAAAAGATAGGATGTTCTTACCGGGGTGCAGACAACAATTTCGACTCCTTCCTGTAGAGCTTTGGCTTGTTCCCACATGCTGCCGCCTCCATATACTGCCACCGAGCGGAGGCCATACACCTTCCCGAAGCGCTTGCATTCAGAATGGATCTGAACCACACAGACAAGCACTTTTAAGTGACTAAAACCCAAAACACACTACAAAAACTTCATTCAAGACCAAGACTACATAAGAAAAACATTTAATCCTTTTGCCCAGCAATTATTTTTCATCTCCTTCCATCTTTTACACCTTTCCCTAGTATGAAAGAGTATGTTTGTCCTTCTCTCTAAACCTGTTGACAGAGCTCTCTGGTGGGGCAGACGATCACAGCAATGGGTCCCTCTCCCTGCTCCAGCTCCTTCTGGTCCATGATGTGCACCAGCATTGGCCAAATGAAAGCTGCAGTCTTTCCACTGCCAGTTTTGGCAATGCCAATCATGTCTCTGCCACCCAAAGCTATCGGAACACCCTAGTGAAACAACACACATTACTGTAGAAAAATAAACCAGTACCTAAACAAACAAAGGTTCTTTTGTGGGAGGGTTTGGCAGCTCACCTGGCACTGGATGGGTGTGGGTTGAGTGTACTCAGATTTACGGATCTGGTGCATGAGCTGCTCGTCAAATCCAAAATGGGCAAAACTGGTGGCTGGTTTAGGAGGGGC